ACATCCCCTTCTGAAATGCCATTTTCTCATTGTTTCCATGGTAACAGCTTGTGTAACTTCCACTGTGGGACTTATGAGTACCAGAGAATATTAATTCAGTTTGTAGGTTGACAGGCGGGTTGAAATGGATTTTATTTCATGGTGTGTGTGTTAACAGACGTGGGGTTAAACTACGGAGGAACTCTTGTCTGCATCTGACCGATTACATGATGGATAATAACTTCACCACAACAAACATTTCCATCAATACCATGTCATCGTCATGCATTATCATGAAATATTATGATAATACCCGAGCCATCTTCCTGTGTGCTGTGTGGTCAGAGGCAAACTGCCCACGTCACTGTGTTCTGCAGTAACTCCGCACATCAACTCGCCCCAGTAATTCCAGCTGGCATTTCCAAACTCTGCACGTTTGAACAGAGCTGTTATCTCTCTGTTGTTTCTGCCCATCCTGCATCGACTGTTACTCCAGCTATCTCCGCTCTCCACCGCAGAGCAGCGGCCAATTCAAAACCTGGATTCATTGGCTTCTTCGATCAAACACAAACGTTTCAATTGGTACAGCAGGAGGACAAAATATAACTTGACTGGCATAAACTTGACAAAAATATCTGAAATAGCAAAACTTCTTGCAATGACTTTGATGCTACATCCACCGTGTTTTAATATGGAACAAAAAGGATTTCCATTCACACAAGCAAGCCTGAAAACACGTAATGTGACTATTTACGATGAGCACGCGGGTACCGGTGCAAAATGGAAGTAGATTGGATGAAGGACACAGCAGGACGGAACCCCTTTTCAAAAGTTTATAAACTTAATCCGTCCTTGGAAACATTTCAAATTCTCTTCCGTATCAAGTTGACATCTGCCGTCCGCAGGGAAGATTATGGGCCGCATCCCAGAGTCAGAGGTTTGTCTTTGTCAGTGTCTCTGTAAAGTGGTTGTGTGTTTTATGCTCACTGTACCGTTTTAACGTGTTGTATGTTTACAGGCCGTCAGGTTCCATTGGTGCTGTGGATAAAAAACGACTGTACAGTGGAATGAATTCTATGCTGCTGTAATCCCGTTTTGCAGATCAGTCACCGCGACAGGGTTGATAACTGAAACTTTCCCGGTCAAAAGACCAGCGCCGCGGCGTCCGCATCAGAGCACGCCAGACGGGTCGCTGTGTGATAAAGCGACAGTAGTATTTGTATCTCACTGAGGCGGTGAGGATCTGCTCTGCTTTGAGTCTTTCATTTTCCTTTTCCACCCACACACTTTTTTTGTAACTAAATTCACCATTTCAGTAGTTTTCTATTTTGTGCATGTGATCACATAAAAGACCAAATGTATTTTGTCATCAGTTAGTTTTAACAGCTGAAAACCAAACTCGTTCCTACCAGATCCCAACACTTCATAGATGGTGTTGCTCCCTCATGAGTGACTTTAAAAAGTTCCCCTAGTCGAGTTCATGCAAATGAAGAGACACTCAGTTATTGTTGTGTTAAAAGACCCGGCAGGTCGATGCCAGGATGAACATTTCCTTGACAGGCAGGTGAGTGAGATGCAGCATGAAGCCTGGAATCACACACAGCAGGTTAATACAGATGCCAACACCTGCTGAGTGTGCACTGGAATGTACAGGTTGGTATTCCAGTGCACAACTGCTCCTTGAGGCTGCTGACCTGATTACTTGCTCGCTAATTGTTTTCTATTGTCTTTGACCCCACTCCAAACCTGCTGCGTGACAGTCCTGCCTCGAAGCGTTCATCATTCGTGATGTTGTAATTAAGTGCCTGTAACTCTGGAATGGCAGGTTAGTAACACAATTAGTAAGAACACTTTTAACAGACATTAAGTCAAAATAAAGAGCTTTTATGTGTTTTTTTCAAACACATTTGAATCCGACTCCCGTAGGATGAAGGGATGTAACTAATGAGCATGAAACATTTCTGCAGAAAAAACAAATACATTTGAAATAGCTTTTGATCAATTTGTCTTTTATATTGATTATTAAGGTCAAAACTAAAATAAATTGCCGTACAGAAGCAGGGCATATGTGGCCATTTTGAAATTTTATATTGATATTCATGCAGATATTTTACAAAATGTTATTTAATCAATATTTCAGATTAGATTAGACATTGTTAATGATTGTAGATTTCAAATTAAAAGAAATTTCACAGAGAACAGCTATATTTTAGAGAATTGTGTCTCATTTGCTGTCTTCATAATCACAGGGATTAACTTTTACAAAGTTCGAAAAACCCTAAATAACTTTGGTTTGAATGGTTGAATGACGTGTAATTCCGGAGCCCTCAGAAGGTCAGGAGTCTAGAAAGGTGCTGCACAAGAAAAAGGTCCTTTTCCCGTATTAAGGGCATTCCCTCAAGCAACACGTCAGCAGTGACTGTGCAGGCTGGTAGTATCTTTGAATACACAGTGGAGGAGCAGCGGGAAGCAGCTATTCATGAAACGCAAAAACAGCCAGAGCGTCATCAACGAGTGTCCCCTGCTGGAACAATTACTTCCAACAACAGCAGCATTCAGAGGGCACAGGAAGCCACTAAATATTATTTCCCTAGTAATTGTCACCCAATCCACAGCAGGGGACTCACTTAACAGAAACCTTCTGAATCCCCCCATTGTGCTGTCACTTGTCCAATCCTCCACACCACCTCTTTAGCATTTTGTCAAATCCATTTATTTCCTCTGCAGATCTACTTAATTAGAAAACTGGCTTGCGGTGAAAATACGTCTTTATTGCTGTCATCATCAATATCGCTGTCCTTATCTGGGTCGCTGCGCACGGATTTGCTGCGTGGCGAATGGAGTAAAAATGTCCCGTTTCTGTCGGGAGCCTTTCATGTCTCAAACACGCGTCCACCGGGGGAATCGACGTGCACACTGTGAGGGTGTAAACCGTTTACAGGTCTATTTCCCCCCCCCCCACAAACACCTTGGAAAGAAAAGCTAGAGACGCAGAAATGTAAAATAAGCGAAAGATAAAGGTTGGTCCGTCTTCTGGGGACTGAAGACTATTCAATCCCACCCGATAAGAAAGCCTCGGGGATTAGTCAGAGGCATTCAGAGGCCTCTGTGGGTTCAGGTACGTAGCAAAAACACAATTTACAGAAGATTATACTTTCTCAACTTATCCAATGGAGGGACATATTTTGGATCAAATTGGCATTCGGCAGTTTTGCATTCGAGGTCAGTACATTTGCCAGTGTGACTGCAGGGAAGAAAACGCATTGGGTTTTATAACCAGCTTAGGTGTAGCTTCCCTTCTTCTTAGAACAACCTCTTCTCCACAAATGAGCTTGCCTCCTCATCTTCGCACTAAAGAGCGGATGCAGAAACCCTCAGCCTCCCCCGTTCACCGCCCTCGTGTTTCCCCCGAACGCTCGTCGGCTGAACACCGTCTGCGATTATTTTTGACAGAATGAGACGGAGCGTCTTCGGCGTGGAGCGTGAACAATCGCGTGAGCGTGGTCACGTTGTCTTCGAGAGCCACACAGAAATACTCGACAGTGGATACACTTCTAAAAGCAATTTGGAAAAAGAGCCTTTTCTGTACATGATTGGATTTTCGCTCAAGAGGCTCGGCCACGTTGCGGCAGTTGACAAACAATGCTGGAATACCGAGAAGCAATCTTCCTGAAAAACCCAACAATATATTTGCTTTAAATACACATACAGCTGAAGCTTTCATGTTTCATGGGAGTCTGTTCGCCGCAGCAGTCAGGAGGAATGTATGGGAATATAATACTAAGCATTTTGATAAGCAGAAGCATTAAATACAGTTCGGTAACGAGAGAACCAGCAGGAGCTGCAGGTTCATGTGTCATCTCAACAGCTTTGTTCACATTGGTGATCTTAATAAATGTCCCAGTGGAAGAGTGGTAAAGCCTGAAATTGAACTATTTCAACTGGGTCCATCTACCCCCCCCATTTATATATATATATATATATATATATATATATATATATATATATATATATATATATGTACAGTATATATTACACACTGGACCTTTAAAAAACGCTGAGGATTCTCTGGCTACTTTGGGGTGACACAGCTCTGCCACCTCGGCGTGATGATGCACCAACTCCTGAAGCTTCAACTCTGGCGGCAAACTACAATAAATAACTTTGAGTGCCTCAAGCTGTTTTCTTGCTTCCATGCCCCTCTCTCTCTCTCTCAGGCTTAGTTTTAGGTTTAGTTAAAAACAAAAGCCAGAATATTAAAAAAGACTTTGAGCATCTTGCTTGCATCTGTGACAAAGAATTAGCAGTTTAGGATTTGGGGCTTATTTTACTTTACTAAGATGGAGATATCATTTTCAGAACGGCGAATACAAATATTTTTTTCTATTTTTAGATACCCTAAAGGTCTGCTATTATAGTTTAAACTCTAATGGATGCGAGTTGCTACAGTAATGTGTCCCTAACAAACAGTTGTAATATATGCAGACCCATGCAGCAAATGCAAGTGCATTTAGACCAAACAGCATGACTCTAAACTAAAATGAAAAGTACAGATTCTTGAACTAGGCGTGTCAAACTAATTTCAGTTCATGAGCAGTGAAACATTGCATGAAAACAACACTGTTTAGGAAATATGTCTGAATAAAGCTGCCTCAAGGAAGTTGAGGCTAAAACCACTTGAACTCATCGTTAATAATCATTTTGTTTTCCTAATGGAGACCTGATCCTTAATGACCGATGTTGTATTTGCATTCTCGAAGGTATTCTGAGCACTGCATTCTAATATCTTCTAATAAAGTTCGGACCCCCGCCCCGTCATTGGTGCTGTGGACAAACCGGTCCACCTCCAGAACCACAGCTGTCCCCTAAAGACACGTTTCAGAAGCGGAGGAACTGCAGGTCAGCGCAGAATACTCACTGAAAACGTGCCGTTAAGCTTCCTCAGAGATTTAGATGAACACAAGATTTTGTCAAATCGACACATCTTTATAAGACAGGACAAAATGGAAAAGGAGATCGTCTGATTGTTTGAAGACATTTTCTTAAGAGAGTCACAATAATACAAAGATCTATCATGGAATACCAGTATTTTATATACTGCAGTTGTTATACCACATTTTTATATTCTGTAACATGTGTACATATGCCAACTTTGCTTTAAAAAGTGTTCAGTTAGTTCATCGAAGAAAACAAGAAACAAAAAATCTTTTCAAACAATATTCAACTCACCATGAAAGGATTACAACACCCTGCAAATGCTTACGGCCAGTGTCATGATGTCTTTAAGCGTTTATCTTTACCACAAGGGAATACACAAAAACTCAAAGCTTTGGGTAACTCGTTGGATTTGATGCTGCCTTTCATATAAAATACTTGAATAGTAACTGAATATTCATTAATGATTTACATAGTCCCGAGGGGAAGAGAGACAAATAGTGATTACGTGAGAATTCATGTCGGGGTAACGAGGAAGTGATGTGAAGAGTTCCACTCCAAAATGTTGTACATCCAGATACAACATAAAATAAAATCGTTGCCTGAGTTTAATCATTCAGAAATCGACAGAATCCACTCTGTAACAATGAACTCCTTTCGAGCACTTGATTATGAACAAATCATAAGAAGCCATTTAATTTAATTTTTTTTTAGTTTTTTTTCTCTTTTTTTTGCCTTCAAGCTTTTCGGGGATTGTGTTTCCACATTTTGGAAAAAAACTCTTCAGAATTTCAGTTTGTTAAATACCGTAATAATCAAAAATATGGAAGGCGAAATACCACACAGTCAGCTGATCCACTTCAGTGATTATTACTGAACACGAGTGTCAACCTGCTTCACTCGTTCCTCCCTGTTTGTATCGGGGGAGTTTTTTTTTTTTTTTAATCAAAGCGACAGACGCGTGCGGAGCCTCATCATTGCTAAACATGCAGAGGCCTCGAGTGCGAAGGAAGAGGAGAGACGCTGCGGGTCATGTACAGTGCATGAGAACAAATCAGAACAGAACAATTAATCGGTTTGTTGTTGTGCTAAATGGAACGCGTGAGGGGGGTGGGGGGCACGTTTCTTTTCTCAGGCCCCGTGAAGCGACCGTGTGATCACTTTGGGAGCTTAAATGTTTGGAATGGACGGTTTTATTTTTGGGGACGTGTTCTATACATTTAGGTGGGAGGATCAATGCAACTCTTGAGTCTGTACAGTAAATACGAGGCTGCAGCTCACAGCCGGTCAGCTGGGCTGACGGTGTAACGTTAGCTTCAGAGGTGCCGCGAGGTGGAATTATTTCCCCTTTCGATAGAGCGCGGCTATTTCCCTGTTTCTACTCTGAATGCTAAGTGTCTGACAGATAGCAGAGGCTTTTCTATCTCCTCAAATTACTCTCAGCTGAAAAGGGAATAAGCGCATTTCCCCAAATCCTATTCCTTTGCGTTATGGATTTTCTTAGGTCGTGTATGTTTAGCCAAAAAAACCCATTTGTTTTCTTTTGAGTGGAAAAGCAGTTTCACACCAAAATGTTCACAAAAGTTTCTCAAAGCGCATGTAGGTGTTGGAGGGGTCAGGGATAGATATCACGCAGCAACGCATTATTCATGGCGCGAATAAGCTAATGAACTGGAAAGTGAACGTGAGGCTCGATCACCGTTTTGTGGAAAAGTGTCGTGTTGACGGCGTCTCCCGTTCTCCACAGGCTCAGTGATCCGGTGCCGGCTGACTTCTCGCACCGTATTCACCGCTTTTCACCTTCACCACAAAAGAGAACTTACCAGCACAGGAACAAGTCAAACCTCCTCTTGATTAGGATGAAAACAAACACCATAGCTTTTTACTCAAGCCACCCAGGTCACAGTCAGAAAAGGAACCGAAATAACAACCCCAAAAAATAAGTTAACATAATTTTGACACATAGAATTTACAATATATACATTTCTTTTTTTTTAAATTAAAATAGATTTGTTGGTTGTCTGATTGGGTAGGTCCGCACGCTTCTTTAATTTCAATCTTCCAGTGTTATCCCGCCGAAGCGGAGTTCCCGTTAAAAGCTCAGTGCCGGCCAATCAGAGCGCAAGTAAGGCTACAATTGTCAAGTCCCTGCCAATAGTTTGTCGGTGACGTCTCCAGACAGGGCCGAGCCATTCGCATCACAAACGGTAGACCCCTTCAGCATCTTGACAAAAAGAAATAAATATAAAATATATGTAATATTTCTATATATATCTCAATAAAACCAAACCCAGGATAGATTTTAATTCTGATGAGTTCTCTCAATGATATAATCAAACTCTGGTCATTTTCCTGTTGCCAGTCCACTGTACTCCCCTTTTTGTCTCCATTTTTGTGTATTTTTGCCATTTTGAGGAAAAAAAATGTCTTCTTCAAACCTGTACATCTTATACGCAAGTAAACAAAATGTAAAAGTGCGTGTTTTTTTTTTTGTTTTTTTGAATACATTATATCCACTATATCCAAAAGTGTTGCAGGCACTTAAGTCCTTCCCAAACATTGTAGGTGTTTTTCGACAGTGGAGTAGGTTGGTTTGGTTATTCCTGGATTAGCGTTGGTCCGTCTGTCAGTATGTCTCTGTCGTTTCGCTTTGACTGGCGATGAACGGACCACTGCTAGCCCAGGATGTCCAGGTAGACCGGCGTGGCTTTCCCCATGGCAAACAGGACCTTCTGAATGTCCTTAATGTTCAGTCGTTGCTGCGGTTCCCTCTGCCAGCAGCCCAGCATGATGTCGTACACCTCTTTAGGACAAATCCGTGGCCTGTCCAGAACGCGACCCTGGGTTATGCACTCAATAACCTGCAGAGGAGAAGGGGCAGTGGAGTGAGACAGAGGCTTTTCACAGGCTGATTGCTTTGCTTTGGCCGTAATGAGAAAAAGGTGACACTGAGCAGGCTGTCCTTTGAGGTTTGAACTAATGAAACTGAGATGAAAGAAATAAACAGCCCGCTTTGACTCCTAAGTTTGTCTAATATTGAAGAGGAAAGAGGTCTGTGCCACAGGACAAAAACAGTAATGCCCAATGTCTGGGAGGAAGAATGCTTGAGGTGTTGCTGAAAGAGCTGTTGATGACTTGTTTGTTGGACTTGGGCTGTCGCGACATGGTTTTTGGTGCAAATTCCCGGCTAGTAGGCCGGGGGTGCTTTCACACGTTACCGTGGCGATCCCGCCACAACGAGCAGAGGTCTGTTTGCCCGCTAAGAACGCTTCCAGTTTGCTTTGTAGGTAATTTTATGACAGTAAATATGTGATTTCAGCATGATTTCAAGAGCTCATGTACTAATTTAATCATCTGCTAATGTGTCTAAGACGATGTATATACCTTATTCGTGCAAAAGCACTGCTTGCGTATTACTCTGTATACTTTCACTAGGTCAATGAAAAAGCATGTGACAGTAATCCCACAGTACTGAGATTTATTTCTTGGTGAGCCGCTTCCGAAACCAAAGAGCTTAAATATACAAATCAGAAGCGTTTAAGTACTGCTCTTCTGTAAGTCATGGGATGTCCCCGAAAAAGTCCTGATGATGTAGGATGGCAACAAAATCTGTCTCATCAAGGAGTTACGTGTCAGTCTTCGTCACTTAGTGTTCATCACTTCTTGTTTACTCCACTTGGTGCCATTAAGAAAAGCAATGCACACAGGAGCCGCTGCAGAACCGCACAGCGGCAATGTTCCCCTCGACCCAAACCAAATGAGCTGAGCTTCAGGTTGGAAAGCAGCGCAACGTGGATGGGGGTCTATTCGTGGGACTGAGGCTGCACAGGAAAACTGCACGAGCATTTTACGGAAAAACACATGCAAATGATTTACTCGGGTCAAACATTTTGTTTTTCTCAGTGTTTGAGGCTCCATCCATCCATCTATCTTCAAACCACTTATCCTTCATACAGGGTCACGGGGAAGAGGGGGGGAAGGGGAGCTAACATTGGGCAAGAGACGGGGTACACCCTGGACTGGTTGTCTAAGTCTAATTTGCACTTACATGATGAGGATTTGAGTGTTTTACTGAAGATCACCAACAACGTACTTATCTCATCTGTATATCGTTCTCTCTTTTTTCTGTTTTGCTTGTACATTTATTTATCTTATCTATTTATAGTGTTCTCTTTTTTATTTTTTGCTTGTATATTTGTATATTATATTATTGTATTTTTTATTGTTTACTCTATGTGTCGTAATACTGCACCAATCACCAGAACAAATTCCTGTTGCCTCTGTTAACTGAGGTAAAACACTGCTTTCTCTCCATTGATACGTTCTTTTTCTGGTCTCCTCTCATCACATCGCCTGATGCTTCAAGAGAGCACCAATTCCTGCAAAAACACAATGGCGCTTCTTTGCAGGAATTCCCACAACCCAAAAATGACAAACCAGGCAACAGCAGCCGGCCTGACATATTGTTAAAAATGTATTCCTGGTGTTACCAACAATGCAACTCGACCGCTGATCGATCGGTTGGGAGTTCAAGTGCGCAATGGTACAACATAGTATTCAACCATTTAACGTACCTGTTAGCAGCATATCAACGTATAGATTCACAGAAACCATGCGTGAAATGTAGGAAATTTAATAAAGTAGTAACATGTTTTAGGTATTGCATCTATTGTAAATGTTACTTCCATAAATTCTTTCTGACTGCTTTTATTTCAGGTTATTTTGGAAATCAAGAGTCCTGTACACCCACAACGTGTGTTGGTGCAATTAGTTGGATTGCATCTTGTTACTAGCTATGCAGTCGTAGTGCACTTGCCACCGGCTGTGAACCAACTGAAGGGTGGGCTAAATTAATGAACACACCCACAGCTCTTAAGAACACGTGTTGAGGAGAATGAGGGGAATATGACCACGTTATGAGTGCTTTGGAATTAGGAGTGTTAAAATGTGTGAGATCAGAATAGGATTTCAGTCTAAAACGTTTGAAGGAACATTTTAACAGCAGCGTTGGGGTTTTTGGCCGTGCATTGTATTGCAGTCACATGTACTGGTATGAGCATGCTAACACTAATATAGGATAGAAGTTGTTTTCCTTGATGACCCTATTTTCCACTGTAGGAGAGGTTAACTGCTACATGCTATCCGTTTGGAGGGTGAGGCCAGGCATTGCTGCCTTAATAAGAAGCAGATGACAGTGCTTTTTGTAGCAGAAAGTTGAAATAAGATAACATTTTTTCAACGATCGAACCAGTGATTATTCAGCTGGTGATGAATGCAGCGCAATTCCAGTCCCACAAAAGCAACTCCGAGGAACAGATAAGAGGGGCCAGGGTTCTGGGTCACTACTGAAATGAAAACGTTGACCATCCTTGACCCTTTAGTTGCGGAGGAAAATCAAGAAAATGCTTACGTATATGGTCCCTTATTTCTAAAGTAACTTCAGAGTTGTTAACAGTAAAGATGATGATGATGTTTTCTTTTTTAAATCTCTAAACCAAACATGTATTGTGCTTTTAATGCACATCATTTGGAAACATCGTAATCTCCTAAACAATTTAACATAAACTTTTGTGTGTTTCAACAATCTTTCGCTCCATGCTGTTTTTTTTCCGAATAAAAAAGCAAAGGAAAGTGTGGAGCCAGTGAGCCGAGTTGGGAATGAGGGATCTTTGAAGTTCCCACCGTACCCATTATCATTCATCATCGTCACTGATACTCATTCCTAATTGTTGCTGTAATGTATCATATAATGGATCAATCTGAATAACTGAATAATAAGTAAAATATCCCATTCTAACTCTACCTGAAGACCAAATTTCAATACAGAAAAAGCTTGTGGATTTTCTGAATACGGCGCTCGCCTCATTAGCTCATCACAAAGCTTCGGCAGTATAGTTTAATCAGCTGAGTGTTTCAGAGGATCCCTAAAATATTTCAGCCCAAGATACTCAGAAAAGAAGAACATATTGATGTTTCAATTGAAATACGTCTAAGTGCATTGCATGCTAGTTTATTCTTTTAGGTAAAGTTCATTTTCTCAGTTTGGTCACTTTACAAGATGAATCCTAATTAAATTGTATTGATTCAAAGCACAGCCTCCAATGAATAACCAAACTAATCATGGTTGTTATGTAATGCCGCATCTTGTCTGATGGGAAAGCTGCATCAATTTATCACCTCATTGGGTTTGGGCTGTAGTCTCAGAGAGAGAGAAAAGAAACAAGACCCAGAATGGAAGCATTTAAATCTGCTATTTTGATTCCTACCTAGAAAACAATTTACAATTTTGGGGTGATTTGAAATGCTGGAGAGGACAAACATTCAACACGAGATAAGATGGAGCTCTAACTTTGAATGCTGGTTCAATCTGCGTATGACAGTCTGTGGTATATATGCATTTATATATATATACCACATAATATTTAATGCGCCACGCTCTTTGTACCTCGTTGTTACCCAGCTGAAACCAAGGCTGCTTCCCATAGGTGAAGATCTCCCACAAGATGACTCCGAAGCTCCATACGTCGCTTTCCGTGGAGAACTTCCTGTACATGATGCTCTCCGGGGGCATCCAGCGAATCGGTAGCATGGTATGTCCTCCAACCTGAGGAGAGGAGAACACAAAGAAAGGAGATCTTTATTGCACGTGAAATGTTGTGGCTAAAAAAAACAGATTAGAAAATTCAATCATCAACACGACTCCCAGGCGGCGGGGATTAACCGTCCTTGCATGTGGCTGATACGACGGGTTTAACATCTCATGAACGTCTGCTGTGCACCTGGACGTAGACACTGATGCAATAAGGGAAAACGTCCGCATGTGTTGGATTGCAAGATTCTTTAGGTTATGATATTGAACCTTTGTTCTTCGGGAAAAATAACAATCCGCCTAGAAGCGTGCATGTGCAAATCAGTTTAAAACAGAAAACTGCTGAATGCAGTCTTGTATAGGTCCTCGTTGAGGAGCTGCTAATGTAAATGTGAGTGTTTGAACTGTAATGCAGTCATGTGTAGGTGTCAGCTGAGATAGTGGAGATATCAGCCGTGAGCTCCTTAAAGTCTTTAAACCCGCAAAACCCGAAGCAGAGTCTCCCGCGCTGTAAGTCCAATGTGGCTGGGTATTAATCGATTAGACAATCATCCATTAATCATCCTCGCTCTCAGCTTCCATTAGCAGGCATTCTTTTAAAATCTATTTCCCATTCATGTCGGTGACTGTGCTTTAATGAGCTGGACAAGACTGATGTGGCAATGAGAGGAAAGTATTGCAGGCTTCAGGATGCTCGGACAGTATTAATTACAGAGATGATTGTGGAGCTCGGGAGTGAAGGTACCTTATTGATGGATAGCGTTATTAACATACTGATCTGAGCTACGGAGACGTGTGCAAAAGTGTACAACAGGATATCTGTAGTCTACCAACACTCAAACATTCAACATGATGCTCCCCAAAAAAACCTCAATGCAAGTTCCAGCTGTTCATTTTCTTTTTCTTTTTTTTATTGTGCAACTACATGACTCATGCCTCACTGAAAATGTGAAAACTCCAACTTTGTTTACTGAGGAACAACACCGACAACAACTAGAAAGTGGATCCTTATGTAATTTTGTGAATTTTTCATTTCGTCAAAGTGATTTGACAAAACATTAAACAGGTGAAACAGAGCAACCTGCTGTAGGATTGAAGGATCCTACTTGATCAGGAAAACAAGTTTCACAAATAATCTCTTGATGCAACGGTAGTAAAGAACTGACAGGATCACATAAAATGTATCATCCTATTACATCCTCCCCTGTTTACTTTTTCTACATCCATCCGTGCATTTGCTGATCCATCTATGCCACAATCCCTTCATGCAGCCATCTTTCCTGCTCAGCTCAATTTGTGTGATTAAGGACAACAAAGGGAATCAGAAACACAAGGAGCTCTGAAATCATCATTAGGACAACATCTTACTGTATTCACCCCCACATGGTTCCTCCGCTCTGTACCTCTGGGTTACAACACAATCACATTCATGTAATCATACACCCTTCTCCCAGCGCCATTTACCAGCTCCAACATCTGTGTGCCTTCAGCTGTGAGCGTTGTGTGACATTTGCAAAATGAAAAAAGAATCGACTCAAGGCGTACTAATTACCTCCTGGTTCCGTAGCTCGCTCATCGCACATTTCCTTTGAAAGTCAAACACAATCTCTGCGTGTCGGCTCGACGCAGCAGATGAATCGTCGGGATGTTTTAAAGAAACAGAAGATTTGTCATTCTGCCAAACGGCTGCTCCATCCCGAGCGTTTATAGAGAACGTCCTCTGGTTTGTACACTTCATCAAATTTAGTTGCTGAGTGCGAGGCCTGCTTGTTTGCCTCTTCTCGTCCTCCATAGAGGTCCTACGACCTCCTCCCGTCCATCAGCGGGTTCCAAAAGGCACAACGTTTATGTTCCCAGTGAGTATTAGCTAGTTCAAAAGTAGTGATGGCAAAACTCCAAATCTGAGGATAATGGTTAACAAAAGCAAATAGTAGCAAAAGAAAGTAACCTGCAGCATAGCTTCAAAATATAACATTTTAAGAGGCCGAACAATAGAAACAGCAATTTAAAATGACAAAAGATAGTGAACCTATGAAAAAAGGGGCTCATAAATACTTAACAAGGCTTTCATATTGTCAATGTCCTTTCAATACTGGAGCTACATTTGGTCCTTTATGGTCCTAGAAAGTTTGTGCCATTATTGGCCCTCGGAGCTCCTTAGCGTGACCTTGTTTTGTGTGTTGCCCAAAACTATGATTGTAGAGTATCATATGACAAGAGTGTGGGTCTCCCTTACATTTACCACAAATGAAGATTCATACACATGGCCCGGAGGTCACCGTGACCGCTAGTGAGCGCTTTCTGCAACAACACCGAAATGCCCACAAGGACTCAAAAGCACACTCCATTAACCTTCAGGAGGTCCAACTTATATTCTTGTATCACTGAAGAACTGTCTATCTAAACAGTTTAGTAAACACCTCACCTCAGTCAGCCTTTAACTCTTTTCTCTATTTTTTTAAAGGATTTCAGGTCTGTTGTGATGGCAAAATATGGTTGTGTTGAATCCTTTTTTTCTGAGCAAACGTTTTCTGTCCAGAGAGGGTGTTGTAAGCAGAAACCTATTTTTCAACCGCATTTTATTCACATTAAAACATTGACACACATGTATGCCTCAGAGCCACCCAGCACAACTTTGTACTAATCCCACAGGAGTTAAGAGCTGCGCTCCGCTGCGTCTCAGTCCATCTCAGGCTGGTAATGTTCGTAGAGAAGACCTCCTTTTCCCTGAATCCTATGAAGAATTCTGCCTCACTGTAACTGGAATGTCCAAGACAGAATCCTTCTTTACCTCCTCATTTTTAGAACTCCTTCCAGCCAGCCGAACTATGATCCACTACCAGCCTGCAAGGCAATCAAAGCTCTTCTATTCGTTTTCCAAAAACATACATTCCTTTTATCTACATCTTAAACAAACAGTATTTATTGACAGTCCTGGAATGACTTGTGACACCAAGGAGGTTTTGCAGCACTCTTTCCCCTCATTCACCCTTGATCTTATATATTGGGGTTCCACTGCAAACTAATGAACATTGACTTATACTCCACCTGGTCTCATTAGACCTGAATTGCTTTTGTTTTGAACACAACATTATGCCAATAATGATGCCGAGACCGGTCGCCCCCGTTGTGTTTAAACCTCGGGGCGAACCTAGCCGTGTGGGCTGGAATTAAGGCGCAGGAGTCGGTGAGGGTCTGTATACCATTCTGTCCCCCTGTGGAGCTTTATAAAGATTAAACAAAATTAATTAAGTTCCTGTTAGTCTAAATGACTTATCTGAGGTCCACCCAGCCTATTGCACGCAAGGCTAAACCTCATCAGATGCATACTAATGATTCGACCGCTGCTGCCGTGGCGAGGGGCATTAAAACTGGCCGGCTCTCTGTTCCCAAATGACTGCACGCTATCACCTTGGGTTTTTGTCACGAGGCCATGGCAATTAGCCTGGAACATGGGGGAAAAGAAGAAAAAAACCCGGCTGAACACATAATAAAAATAAAATAATTGCCCCGGTAATTATCCTCATCTTTCTCAGTCAATGTCACATCTTGAAGCTGGCAATGCTCTGTGGGGAGTGAGGAACGAGCCTTTTTCGTTGCTGTCTAAACTGGATTAGTGCTCTGCCTGTCCCACCGTGGCAGGGGAGTGATTGGATTAACGGCGCGGAGAGCACAGCAGCATGGCAAGGGGATAGATTACTGGCCCAGTTTGGCTCTTGGCTGGGCGCGCCGCGGCCTGCAGGGAGCCCTGGGAGGCCCCAGACATTTTAAAGGGCCCGATAACTATCTAGACACACTCTTTCCCTTTGCTCTAACCCCACTGCTATCTGCGCTCTCCCAGCTCAAACAGCGGCAAACACAAGTTCCTTTAGAGGCTGGGTTTCTACCTGCTGTGCCGCTGCCAAGTGCAGATAAAGTGGTATCTAGTCTGGCCGGAGTGTGCCAGTGGGTGGTGAAAGTTTCTGAAGGTTTTCGAAAAAAAACGTACACACACGCACAAACAAATTACACCAATTGCAAACCTGCGATTTCTCATTAACAATTATAGTGTGTAGCTCTCAAAACTCACCTGTGCAATACAATGTTTGGACACACATATATATATATATATCTTTAGGGTTGCTGCTGACTGAAACTGCTGTGCAGATATGCGATAGAAATTCTGAGCAGAACAACCCTTTTGTTCTGTTTAATTGTATAAAAGTATGTGGATATGAGCGCCCTCCGCATGATTTTAATTTGTTGACAAACGAATAGCAAGACAAAAGGTCCCAATTTACACATGGCTACACAAACAGTTGCTGCTTTCAGACCAGCTATGGTGTTTACACGCAGCGCCCATGTTGTGTAGGTAGCGAGTAGACTGCATGCTTCTCCAATTTGCTAAATCTGCCTTTAAATAAGCAGGAACCTGTCTAATAAAGTGAATGGGAGCCTTATTTAGAGCCCTGAAGTGGAGTCGTACACGTCCTTAGTCCACTTGCGCCATGCTAGCAGCTACAGGAAAATGTAGACTACTTAGGCATAGTAACGTTTCAGCTAAATGCTAAAAGCACTAACATGCAAGAATTGTTTCAAATGAAATTTGTTAGGATAGAACAAACAACATGTAGAGTTTTAATTAAGTAGATTTACCTGTGCTGATAAGCTGGTTTTGCTTGTTTTAAACAGAAGCTGTTTACCCCTGCTTCCAGTCTTTATGCTAAGCTAACTAGCTAGCGGCAGGAGCTTCATATTTCCCGAGAGGGGCATCAACCTCCTCATCGAAGTCTGGTCAAGAAAGTTAATAAGCATATTTCCAAAGTTTTGAACTAACTCTAAAGAATTCAGGAATACAAGAAATGGAGTATTTCTTGTGGCCTCAAAAGCCAGACTTCCTCCTTCACTCTTTAAACTGTAGGTGCCAATGAGCTGGTGACCATGTGAGGAAGGAATCCTCGGCAAAGAGGGAAGAAAAGGGCCCTTGGGGGGAGGCAGAAGAGTTTTTTTTTATCCCTTCGTGAAGCAGTAATAAA